ATTGGTGCATTCAACTTAGGATAGCCAGTGGGACAACTACCCTTCTTTTTTTTATGGGGGGTGGGGTAGAAGGATTACTGTTATACTATTCCAGGTATTCCTTAAAGAGGTAGGGTTTCAAGTGTCTCCGGAAGGTGGTCAGTGACTCCTCTGTCCTGACGTCATGGGGGAGCTTGTTTCTCCATTGGGGTGCCAGAGCAGCGAATAGCTTTGACTGGGCTGAGCGGGAACTGTGCTTCCGTAGAGGTAGGGGGCTAGCAGGCCAGAGGTGGATGATCAAATAACTCCAGTCTGTAAGGAAGATATTTGGCACCAGCTTTCGCTTCTTCTCACAGCTCATCTCAGCCACACACACACTGTCATGAACCACAGACTTCCTTATCTATGCATGTATACTCTCTCTCTCTCTCTGGCATACATTATGCCATTTCAGGACCTGAAAATATTGTTATGGTTACTGTGCCAAACAAATGTGGCACAAGCCAGATTGTTTTCTATTTGATAAACTGATAAATAAAGTAGGCTATGTTCTCGGCATTAGAACACCTTGGCTACTGTATAGTGGGTTCACAAACGATTTGAAGTGTGTAACTCTGACACTGCACATTTGAGAGAAAGCAAAGGGCCAACAATGAAGAGTAAAGATGTTTCAATAACAGAATTGATTGTGTTTTTAAAACTTTGTTATGACAACAGCTACATTTTACTTCCGTGAGGTTAATAATTATTGACCTATTTCTTCAGCATGAAGCTAAGATTATTATTCTGATACTGAGGTACAGTGTTGGGTAGGTTACTGTATTCTGTGTAGGGTTGCAAAATTCCAGGAACGTTCAATAAATTCCCTCGGTTGGAGGCTTCCTGGTGTCAATAGGGAATAAGCAGGAAACACGGAACCTCCAACCAGGATTTCTGGAAAAACTGAATTTATTGAAATTCCAGGAATTTTGCAATCCTAATTCTGTGTAATTTGAATTATGATTCTGTTTTATAGCGCCCTCCTCTGGTTCATCGCAGAAATTGCAAGGCCCATCTGTGTCGGTGTATACCAAGGGGCTTAGCTAGCTCGAGATTCTAGCTACAAACACAGCAAAACATTAGCTAGCTTTACATGAAAACTCACTTGATATAGAAACGTCCATTAAATGCACCTTCTCCACGCAGAAAAAGTATTATCAAGCTACATAAGCTTGATAATTCCTTGCAAACACAATCACATCACACGTTCAGCTAGCTAGCAACTTTCTCCAGCACGCCTCCCGGTTCCTGCACGAGAGTAAGGGAGGATTAATTCTCGGGTAGCTAGCTAGCTATGTTGTGAGTCTGGGGGGCTATAACCAAATGCTATGTTATCTTAATTAATAAATGTACACTAGACAGCTTCATTGTCAAGTTTGGTAGCAACGTGTTTTCACAAATCCCCTGTGTAGCTACCACGAAATAATGGTAGCTAGCTAGCTGCTTGCTAATAGTGTAATTCAAAGGCCTAACTACACATCGGTGTCGAGTAGGAGAGTGATCCCGACTTGCAGCTCCATTTTATGCTAACTAGCCAAGTAACTATCATTTACCACCAAGCTATGCTAAATGCTAACTTTTCGCATAAAGCTCCAGATAGATGGCTAGCTAGCTAATTCGCTAACTAGTTAGATGCTAAATTAGTCGATGTAGCTAGCTAGCCACTGTAAATATAGCTATGTTGCAAGTCTAAAGCCATTCAATAGAATGCCATGATTTGTTGTTGGAAATAGAAAATGTTTCTATCTAGCGCATTCATACTTGACAGCTTATGCTAGCTAGTGCAGTGACAGTGTAGCTCAATTGATAGAGCATGGCGCTTGTAACGCCAGGGTAGTGGGTTCGATCCCCGGGACCACCCATACGTAAAAATGTATGTACACATGACTGTAAGTCGCTTTGGATAAAAGCGTCTGCTAAATGGCATATTATATTATATTATTATATAACTTCACAAATACCATGTACTAGGGGACATTTAACACATTTCAACAAGCTAGGTTGTTATTTATTGATTACCTGGAATAATATTGATGAATCAGCAATTACTGCTTCTGCAAGATAAGAAGCTAACTGGCAGCATCTTCTCTAATTTAGTTAGTGAGAAATATTAAATATTTATTATATTTAATATATATACATTTACACTACATGGCCAAAAGTATTGATTAGTGGATTTGTCTATTTCAGCCACACCTGTTGCCAGTGGTGTAAAGTACTTAAGTAAAAATACTTTAAAGTACTACTTAAGTAGTTTTGGGGGGGTATCTGTACTTTACTTTACTATTTATATTTTTGACAACTTTTACTTTTACTCCACTACATTCCTAAGTAAAATAATGTACTTTTTACTCCTTTCATTTTCCCTGACACCCAGAAGTACTCATTACATTTTGAATTCTTAGCAGCACAGGAAAATTGTCTAATTCACAAACTTTTCAAGAGAACATCCCTGGTCATCCCTACTGCATCTGATCTGGCAGACTCACTAAACACAAATGCTTTGTTTGTAAATTATGTCTGACTGTTGAAGTGTGCCCCTGGCTATCTGTAAATAAAAAAACAAGAAAATCGTGCCCTCTGGGTTGCTTAATATAAGGAATTTGAAATGATTTATACTTTTACTTTTACTTTTGATACTTAAGTATATTTTGGCGATTACATTTACTTTTGATACTTATGTATATTTAAAACCAAATACTTTTACTCAAGGAGTATTTTACTGGGTGACTTTCACTTTTACTTGACTAATTTTTAAGGTATCTTTACTTTTACTCAAGTATAACAATTGGGTACTTTTTCCACCACTGCCTGTTGATGACAGGTGTGTAAAATCGACCAAACAGCCATGCAATCTCCACAGCCAAACATTGGCAGTAGAATGGCCCGTACTGAAGAGCTCAGTGACTTTCAACTTGGCACCGTCATAAAATGGCACCTTTCCAACAAGTCAGTTCGTCAAATTCCTGCCCTGCTAGAGCTGCCCGGTCACCTGTAAGTGCTGTTATTGTAAAGTGGAAACATCTAGCAGTAACAACGGCTCAGCCACGAAGTGGTAGGCCACACAAACGGGACCGTCGAGTGTTGAAGCGTGTAGCACGTAAAAATCGTCTGTCGTTGGTTTCAACACTCACTACCGAGTTCCAAACTGCCTCTGGAAGCAACATCAGCACAAGAACTGTTCGTCGGGAGCTTCATTAAATGGATTTCCATGGCCGAGCTTGCCGCCATTGGACGCTGGAGCAGTGGAAATACGTTCTCTGGAGTGACACCATCTGGCAGTCCAAAGGACGAATCTGGGCTTGGCGGATGCCAGGAGAACGCTACCTGCCCCAATGCATAGTGCCAACTGTAAAGATTGGTGGAGGAGGAATAATGGTCTGGGGCTGTTTTTCATGGTTCAGGCTAGGCCCCTTAGTTCCAGTGAATGGAAATCTTAATGCTACAGCATACAATGACATTCTAGGTGATTCTGTGCTTCCAACTTTGTGGCAACAGTTTAGGGAAAGCCCTTTCCTGTTTCAGCATGACAATGCCCCCGTGCACAATTTTTAATTTGTTAATTTCACCTTTTTTTATGCTAACCTCCCCAGTTATTAGGAATGGTGAGAGGTTAGCATGTCTTGGGGGTATGACCTTTGACCCTCTAACTTTCTCACTCATCATTACATTTTACATTTAAGTCATTTAGCAGACGCTCTTATCCACTTACAGTTAGAGTGCATACATTATTTTTTTATTTTTCATACTGGCCCCCCGTGGGAATCGAACCCGCAACCCTGGCGTTGCAAACGCCATGCTCTACCAACTGAGCTACATCCCTGCCGGCCATTCCCTTCCCTACCCTGGACGACACTGGGCCAATTGTGCGCCGTCCCGTGGGTCTCCCGGTCGCGGCCGGCTACGACAGAGCCTGGATTTGAACCAGGATCTCTAGTGGCACAGCTAGCACTGCGATGCAGAGCCTTAGACCACTGCGCCACTCGGGAGGCGTTAACCTCTAACGGTTATTCACGATTCATTCATGATTATCCAGCATCCACATTAATGTAGAAATGTTTAGAAACATATGATATTATTATTTATAATAAAAGTGACACAACCAATATAATAACAGCAAATGCATCCAACAAGTTTGTAGAGTCACAAGCTTGATGTAATCATTGTGTGCTAGGAATATGGGACCAAATACTAAACTTCTGACTACTTTATAAGAATCTTTAGGGGTGTCAATAATTTTGATAACTACCGTTATTTCATTTTTGTATTATTACTTGTTAAATAAAATATATTTCTCTGAGCAGTTGTATTAGTATAAAATTATACAATTTCCCAATTCCTTTGAGCATACAATATAGCTCAGTATTTGAATTATTTATTTTATAAAGTTTATTATTGATCAGCTTTATCAAGGGTGTCAATAATTTCGGACCCCACTGTAGATAATCTTTGCTAGAACACATGCTATTGTACTATTGCAGCCTTCCTTTATTTGTATGGACTGTATGGGCACAGTATCTCTATGATGATGCTAACATGTGCCCTACTGTATCTCATTCTGTATTTTCCCATACATGCCAGTGAGGGAAGCTACGGTGCAGAAGATTGAGGCCATCATTAACGATCTGTTCTCTTTGGAGATGAAGAACAAAGAACATGAGATGGAAGTGATCGGACAGGTAACTGTTAACCTCAGCTACTGAATGAGTATCATATCGCCATACATGAGCCTTACAGAACTACGAGTGGACAAAAGTACTAACACCTCAAATGCATACTAACACCCTGTTTTCATTACATGTTTATTGCCTTTCGTTGTGTGTAATGAATTACATGCTTATACTGCAGGAGAAAGCTTCCGTGTCTCTGTTCATGTCTCCTCACAGCGTCTGAATGAGGCCAAGTGAATGATGGACAAGCTCACAACCTGAATAGTGGCCAATTACTATGCCAACGCTGGGGCATAGTAACCAATTCACACCATGTATTCTACAACTTCCCTTTCTTCCCTATTCGTTCATCTGCCTATTATAGCTGTCTCGTTCTTTGTCTTTAAGAAAGGATATCAAGGTGGAACATCCCCTCTCCGTTCCTACGTTTCCCAGCATGCCTCCAAGAGCGACCCGGCGGTGCTGAACCACCCGGCCATCAAGCGTTTCCTGGAGTCGCCCTCCCGCTCCTCATCCCCCCTCGACCAGGGCTCGGACACCCACACCCTGAGTCCCTCGGATTCCAAGTCCCTGTCCCAGCAGGGCGAGGGGCCGGACTGGGAGGTGGCCTGGAGGGAGGACAGGGGCCGCAACACAAGGAAGGTGAGTGGAGTGAGGAGTTAAGGGCCACATCTCAATAGGCTGATGTGGCTTTCTCTCCTCGTGTCCTTTCCTTCATCCGTACTGATCTGAAAGACTAGGCTAGATAAGAGCAAATTGCCTCCACCTCTCCTGTCTTTTCAGGCCAGTAAAGGAGACAAGGAGAGGGAAGCACTGTAGACTATTGAGACACACCCAAGAAAAAAAGCGATCATATAATGAACTTTTTGATCAGTGCTGCAACCTCTAACGGTCATTACTATCACTATCTCCTTCATTGAAGGACACGTTTGGTGTCCCATCATCAGTCGTAGGGGAGCCGAGGGTGACCAACCACACTACAAGAGACGAGGCCTCTAGGCTCTGCGTGAGGAAGACTATTGTGGTGGGAAATGTCTCCAAATACATGGCTGATATTATCAATGAGTTTTCCTGTTTTTTACTCAATTGAATCTGAGAGCTTTTCAAGACAATAAGCAGGTTTCTATTGGTTTATTCGACAAAAGCAATGTCACCAATTGTTTTTGTTGAGACGTGTAATGGAAATGGCCGATATAGGATACATTTTCTAAAGATCGACAACATTTTTATCCGTTCAACAGGGGTGGATTTTTCTTCTGTCTAACTTTCTTTATTGCGACAAATTATGGTGGAAATTGTGTTTTTCTAATAAATGATGATTGCCAAATACCTTTGAAGGTACTCGGGGCACGTGATGTAGGCTAATCACGTAACAATAAGCTCCACTCCACATTTAATTCTAAATGCCTACTGCTTGCAAAAGTATTTTTTTCAAACAAAAATTATGTTTCTTTGCAGGACAAGGATTGTTCTGACTTTCAAGAATGCCTGAATTGCTTCGCCTTGCTTTTCTGGTTGGCTGGCAAGTTTCAGTATCCAATTATTTCAGATCTACAGAAATGCAAGTTTCACCATGGCATGGACTGTGGCGATACGTTGGTACATGAGAATTATTAGAATATGGCAAATATTAGTCAATTATTGCATTCTATTTTTGGAACCTCACCCTAGCAGACAATTGTCGCATCTATTTTCTATGCAAACTTTCTAAATGTCGACAAATGAATCACTGGACAAGTTGATGGAAACCTAGCTAGTGGTTCCCATAATGTTTTTGTGACACAGTGAACTTTCTAAACCCTTTCACAATGTATCTAGTCCTTTGTGACATACACAGGGAGATATGAACAACAGCAGTGTGTTGCAAGCTCTTGGTATACAGTTGAGTTTCTCAGTACTGTAACCATTTAGTCAGCACACCTTGTTTTTGTTCCCTCACACTACAGCGAGCAGTTGGGTAACTGGGTGCATGTCATGCAAGCCCAATCTTGATACAGCACATAAAGAGCCTCTGTGTCCTGATCACTGACATGTTTTCCCCCTGGATCTCAAACCTGTTTAGGGGTTACAGGGAGACACTATACCAGAACACAACAACTAGGCCATGACCTCTGTCATAAGGTGTCATAACAGTGACATAAAACAGTAATTACTACTTATGTCACCTGACTTCACAAAGTAGCTAGAATTACTATGTTCAAAAGTTATATCATGTACTACCATGGCCTATGAAATATATTTGGAATTGGTTTACTCTTTTTTGAAAGGTTTAAGTGCCCTGTTTCTCTGGGATCCCATTAACGAGAGAGAGAGTCTCCATCCCCCCCCCCCCCCCCCCCGTGAGGCAGCTCCCTCACTCTCCCCCTGCGAGGCAGCTCCCTCACTCTCCCCCTGCGAGGCAGCTCCCTAACTCTCCCCCTGCAAGGCAGCTCCCTCCCTCCATCTGTCATTCAGAGGATAACAAACAGAACCAGGGCACTAGTGCAGAGTGACTGACAGCTCTGCTACACAGCCCTTGCTGCCCACCTGCCTCCCACACTTTATCTCTCTTCCTCCTTGTGTTTTACTCTCTCTACTTCTCTCCTTTCTCCCCCATCTGCTTTCTGCCTCCTTCATCTCCCCCTTCTTCCCTATCTTCCCTGCTCTGTCGCTCCTCTCTCCCTCTCTCCCCCCTCTCCTCTCTCCCCCTCGCCCCTCACTCTCTCTCTCCCTCCCTCTCTCCCTCTCGCCCCTCTCTCTCCCCTCTCCCTGTATCAAATGATTCAGCCTTAGTTGCTATTGCTGCTATGTAATATTATGCAAATAGAAACCATTCCCTTATATCTCACAGTCTCCCAGGTATATCCCCCCTGATAAACACGAGGAGAATGACTAGTCCACCCATAAGTGGATGGTGTACATCAGAGGCTCCAGAAGAGAGCCCAGCATCGACCACTTTGTTGAGAAAGTCTGGTTCTTTCTGCAACCCCAGCTACAACCCGACGACCTGGAGCAAGTCAGGTGTGTGTGTGTGTGTACTGATGTTAATGTGATTGCGTGTGACAGTATTTTATGGAGGTAGGGCTTGTCTTGTTATTGAATAGATCACTGGGGTGTTGCTTTTATATGCAGGCCTCAGGCAACAGCAAGAAGTGTTGCTTTTATATGCAGGCCTCAGACAACAGCAGAAAGGTTGAGACTCTCTGAGCAACATGTTTTCATCTGATACTACCATCTATCTAGTGTTGCCCCTGGTTACACCATTTCCATTTGATATTACAGGTCAACAAAAGTTTTATGAACAACTTTTGTTTGGCCAGACAATGATGTAGGCCTAGCTATTACATAAACTGTTGCAATCAAATTCAATCAATCAAATGTTTTTTATTTTTTATAAAGCCCTTTTTACAACAGCCGTTGTCGTAAAGTGCTTTACAGATACCCAGCCTCAGGCCCCATCCGTTAGACTGCTTGAGTAGAATGCCGCTCCCATCACAAACTGAAATGTCATGGAGTAATAGCACCCTCATGTGGACATGAGACTATGCACCAAAACCTTTTAGACATCACACAGGAGTTAGGTCGGTCAAGTTGTCTCTAGTAGTAATGCGCGGGTTGACTAATAACCCGCAGTCCCCGTGGGTATAGCCGTAGTCCGGGCGGGTTTAGTGTAGGCTAATTAAATATAGTGTGGATGAAGGGCGGGCGTGTGACCAGAAAGAGAAAACAATACCCCCCCCAAAAAAAATCCATTATTGTGCTCTTTATATTTATAGGCTACATTGAGGTTTTTCTTTAGTTCTTTTAGGATATCTGGCATTAGTGCATAAGCCTAAACAGGGTGTAACTGTATGCCTACACGCCATTCGCCAAATGCTTTTGGGAACGGGCAGAAAACGTTCATGTCAATCCACAGAGGCAAAAAGCACAGTGTCGGAGTTTAATTCAATACAAGATGCGTAAAGGAGAGTTGAAAATAAAGAGAAGGGAGGGTCAGAAAAGTCATGTTTGTGACAGATTTGGTGAAGTGGTAAAAGAGGATGATAGCGGTGCCGGCTATGTTGTGTGATGATTGTGAGGCGCTATACAAATTCGACAGCAACAAGACGGGGACTTCAAATAGGCTTATGGCAAGTCAAGGGAACTGTAGCCTACTGTTCAGATGGGTTAAATGTAAACTGAAATCTGGACACTGACTGTAGGTCTATAACCTCTCACATGGCTTTAATAATAACTCCTGCAGAATTATGCATTTCTTGCAGTAAAATGATGCATCAAATGTAGGCTACATTTTCTATCGGGAACAGAAGTGGAGAAATATTATTTATTTCATTCAGCATCTTGAGAGAATGCGAATGCGCAGTTATATACTGTCTGTAGAGGTGCTATCTTTATCAGCATCAGAAAAGCTGATAGTATTTCAATCACATAGAATATGCATCCAAGCCGAACTGAAATCTTATCAGAAACATGTTGGGTCGTTTTCACAGCTTACTATTTCCATACAACCGGTCAAACTGATGTCATTTGCAAATTGTGCACAGAAAATCTTTCCCTTTTTTTATTTGGTTATTGCATTTTCTCCGCGGTCACTAAATGTCTTTGCGCCGAGAAAGAAGCAGAGATGACAGAGAGAACTTTACCGATGTCAGCTAGATTGAAGCATTCATTCTATTGATTTATGACATTATTCTGGTGAGCAAGTGTTTATTTAGTATTCTAGGGCAACATATAATGACAGAAGAGAAGCTGCATGTATCTAATTATAGACAAGTTGACTAACAAATAGTCAAGCAGAAATGACAAGCAGAAACGTGTCTAAAGCAGGCAAATGAAAATCCTGCACCCCCTGCGAAAAAATTGTTCCGCCGTCTCTGACTGTAGCCTACAGCGCATTTTCTATATTAGTGGATTACGGTTGGGTGTGGGCCTCAGATGTTTACTTTATAACATAGTCGGCGGTTGCAGATGGGTTGTTAGCAATTGCGGGCGGGTGCGAGTGAACAAACAGCTGACCCGCGCACCACTAGTCCCTAGACACTGATCTAAGGCCAGCTTGTCCTTTTCCACACTAATGGTTAAAGGTTATGATTTGGGGTGGGAAAGTTGATCCTAGACCTGCTGTGCCGCCTAAGGGCAACTTCTACAGAGCCCGCTGACACACCTGACACACACCCTTTAGTACCTATGACCTGTGTGAGCAGTCTGAGTCAGACCAGGAGTCAAGATGACTGTGCTGACACACCCTTCACCTACAGACAGTGTAACCACTCAGAAAGACGAATATCTCATCAGAATACCTCAGGCAGAGCCCTGACACGCATAAAGGTTGATCCTGCTTTAGAATCCCCATAGACACAGGGTTTTTTCTGATCCTCTGCCCTCTGGCTGTTTTTAGCTGACCAGATACACAAGGCTCTTAGTAACCCAGATAGATGCACCCTGACTGACTGACTGGCCGACTGATTGGTTGACTGAGAGACTGGCTGGCTGGTTGACTGGCTGGGCTGAGTGGAGGATTCAAACTCACTGAACCCCACAGACACATAGCTAAAGCCTTCTAAGACACATCTAAGGTAGCCTGGGTACCAGTCTCTTCACCTAACATTTCACTCTTTGCCGCTCCTTGTCATTGCCATAGAGACTGGCCTTTCGGCAATCTTCAAACATTCTATCATTAATGAGCACGAGGAGATCAGAGGATTGAATAATAACTTACCCGCCAGTTCATTGTGAACACTGTAGCCTATTTTATATCCAAGAAGCAAGAGTAAGGTACTATTCATATCAGATTTCGAAAAGGCATTTGATAAAGTTCGACTGGGGTTTATATATAAATGCCTGGAGCATTTACATTTTGGAGAATCTCTTATAAAATGGGTCAAAATCATGTATAGTAACCCTAGGTGTAAAATAGTAAATAATGGCTATTTCTCAGAAAGTTGTAAACTGTCAAGAGGAGTGAAACAAGGTTGTCCACTATCGGCATATCTATTTATTGTGGCCATTGAGATGTTAGCTATTAAAATCAGATCCAATAATAATATCAGAGGATTAGAAATCCAGGGCTTAAAAACAAAGGTGTCATTGTACGCTGATGATTCATGTTTTCTTTTAAATCCACAACTAGAATACCTCTACAGCCTCATAGATGATCTAGATACATTTTCTAACCTCTCTGGATTACAACCAAATTATGACAAATGTACTATATTACGTATTGGATCACTAAAAAATACACTTTTTACATTACCATGTAGTTTACCAATAAAATGGTCTGATGGTGATGTGGATATACTCGGAATACATATCCCAAAGGAAATAAATGATCTCACTTCAATACATTTTAATAGAAAGTTAGCAAAAATAGATAAGATCTTACTACCATGGAAAGGAAAATACCTGTCAATTTGTGGAAAAATCACCCTGATTAACTCTTTAGTATTATCCCAGTTTACCTATTTGCTTATGGTCTTGCCTACGCCTAGCGAACAGTTTTTGAAATTATATGAGAGAAAAATATTCAATTTTATTTGGAACGGCAAGCCAGACAAAATTAAAAGGGCATATTTATATTATGAATATGAATTCGGAGGACAGAAATTATTAAATATTAAAGCATTAGACCTATCACTAAAAGCTTCAGTCATACAAAAGTTATACTTAAATCCGAACTGGTTCTCAAGCAAATTAGTAAGATTGTCTCACCCAATGTTCAAGAAAGGCCTTTTTCCCATTATTCAGATTACAACAACTCATTTGCAGTTATTTGAAAAGGAAATCATCTCCCAAATGTCACTATTTCTAAAAGAAGCCATAGAAAGTTGGTTGCAATTTCAATTTAATCCTCCAGAAACGACAGAACAAATAATGCAACAAATATTGTGGTTAAATTCAAATATACTAATTGACAAAAAACCTTTATTTTTTGACAGAATGTTTAAAAAATGTATAATCTTCGTAAATGATATCATCGGTAGGACTGGTGGAGTTATGTCGCACATGCAGCTAACAAAAACATATGGAAATGTCTGCTCTACCCAAAATTACAACCAAATAATTGCAGCCTTACCGCAAAAGTGGAAGAGGAAAGTGGAAGGGGGAGAAAGTAAGGAACTTGTCTGTCAGCCTTACATTAAAGAACATAATTGGTTAAGGAAAACTGTGATAAATAAAAAAGTATATCAGTTTCACTTAAGGACCAAAGGATTGACAGCCGTCCCATATAGATTGCAAAATAGTTGGGAAGAGATTTTTGACGTACCGATCCCATGGCATAGTGTTTATGAACTGACATGCAAAACGACACCGGATTCAAAAATTAGAATCTTTCAATTTAAATTATTATATAAAATTCTTGCTACCAATAGAATGTTATTTATATGGGGGATACAATCTTCCCAGCTCTGCAGATTTTGCTGTGAAGAGACAGAATCATTAGATCATTTGTTTTGGTATTGTCCATTTGTAGCTTGTTTTTGGACACAGGTCCAGGAATGGCTAAAGGATTGCAATATTTACCTGGAGCTAACCTTGCAGATAGCACTACTGGGTGATCTGAAAAGTCATAGTCAATCGATTAATATTACTTTTAGCAAAAATGTATATTTTCAATTTACAATCTGTAGAAACAATGAGAATAGAAGGGTTCAGAACTTTTGTAAAACATCACAGTACAGTTGAAAAATATATGGCAAATAGAAATCCAATATGGATGGTGTTAAGAGATAGATGGGAGGTGTTGAATGGAGTTGAAGGATGGGACTAATAACAACTAATAACAACAAGATAACTAATGTAAAGCATACTGTGTCTAATAAGTATATAGGTTATAAATTGAGAGCTTTTGTGAAAGAGCACAGTTAGAAATATATGGCATATAGAAGAAAACCGGATGGACATCATGAAAATGATCGGAGAGGTTGAGGGTAGAGGAAGTTCAGGAGTAAAATGTATATAGTATGTATAAGCTGGAAGTAGAGGCCTAAGCATTGTTGTTCACTAGTTTACTCCAATTAAGGAAGGGGTGGTGGGGTTGGAAAGTAATAAAGGGAAATATATTTTTTTAAAGGATATGTATATATATGTACAGTTGAAGTCGGAAGTTTACATACACCAAATACATTTAAACTCAGTTTTTCCACAATTCCTGACATTTAATCGTAGTAAAAATTCCATGTCTTAGGTCAGTTAGGATCACCACTTTATTTTAAGAATGTGAAATGTCAGAATAATAGTAGAGAGAATGATTTATTTCAGCTTTTATTTCGTTCATCACATTCCCAGTGGGTCAGAAGTTTACATACACTCAATTAGTATTTGGTAGCATTGCCTTTAAATTGTTTAACTTGGGTCAAATGTTTCGGGTAGCCTTCCACAAGCTTCCCACAATAAGTTTGGTGAATGTTGGCCCATTCCTCCTGACAGAGCTGGTGTAACTGAGTCAGGTTTGTAGGCCTCCTTGCTCGCACACGCTTATTCAGTTCTGCTCACACATTTTCTATAGGATTGAGGTCAGGGCTTTGTGATGGCCACTCCAATACCTTGACTTTGTTGTCCTTAAGCCATTTTGCCACAACTTTGGAAGTATGCTTGGGGTCATTATCCATTTGGAAGACCCATTTGTGACCAAGCTTTAACTTCCTGACTGATGTCTTGAGATGTTGCTTCAATATATCCACATAATTTTCCTTCCTCGTGATGCCATCTATTTTGTGAAGTGCACCAGTCCCTCCTGCAGTAAAGCACCCCCACTGCATGATGCTGCCACCCCCATGCTTCACGTTGGGATGGTGTTCTTCAGCTTGCAAGCCACCCCCTTTTTCCTCCAAACATAACGAAGGTCATTATGGCCAAACAGTTATATTTTTGTTTCATCAGACCAGAGGACATTTCTCCAAAAAGTACAATCTTTGTCCCCATGTGCAGTTGCAAACCATAGTCTGGCTTTTTTATGGCGGTTTTAGAGCAGTGGCTTCTTCCTTGCTGAGCGGCCTTTCAGGTTATGTCGATATAGGACTTGTTTTACTGTGGATATAGATACTTTTGTACCTGTTTCCTCCAGCATCTTCACAAGGTCCTTTGCTGTTGTTCTGGGATTTATTTTTTACTTTTCACACCAAAGTACGTTCACCTCTAGGAGACAGAGCTGGTCTCCTTCCTGAACGGTATGACCGCTGCGTGGTCCCATGGTGTTTATACTTGCGTACTATTGTTTGTACAGAGGAACGTGGTACCTTCAGGCGTTTGGAAATTGCTCCCAAGGATGAACCTGACTTGTGGAAGTCTACAATTTGTTTTCTGAGGTCTTGGCTGATTTCTTTTGATTTTCCCATGATGTCAGCAAACAGGCACTGAGTTTGAAGGTAGGCCTTGAAATACATCCACAGGTACACCTCCAATTGACTCAAATTATGTCAATTAGCCTATCAGAAGCTTCTAAAGCCATGACATCATTTTCTGGAATTTTCCAAGCTGTTTAAAGGCACAGTCAACTGTCACACCCTGGTTCTGGGACTCATTATGTTGAGCCAGGGTGTGTTCATTCATTGGGTGTATTTCTATGTTGGTATTTCTGTTGTGTTCATTTCTATGTGTGACTGAGTGACTCCCAATCAGAGGCAACGAGTGTCAGCTGTTTGCTGGTTGTCTCTGATTGGGAGCCATATTTAAACTGTATGTTTTCCCTTGGGTGTTGTGGGTTTTTGTTCCGTGTTCGGTCAGTGTCACCGTGGACTTCACGAGTCGTGTTTTGTTTGTAACTTTAACTAATTAAAGTCATGTTTGTTTCACACGCTGCGCCTTGGTCTACTCAATTTTTTTTTCTTGGGGTTGCCTCTCGGGTGTCCGTCGTCGGCACGGTTGGCACCGTTTCTCCTCTCCTGCCTGGGCATTTACCTTCGTCCATGGCCCTTTCCCCGCGAATATCTCCTCCCATGACCACAGTTTGCCCACCTGTGACATCGCTACTCGCTCTTCCTGGGCACGCTGCTTGGTCCTCGTTTGGTGGGATCTTCTGTTACGATCGCTTATAGACGGGACGGACCAAGGCGCAGCGTGATATGCGTACATGTTTATTTATACTGAATAAACAAGCGACAAAACAACAAATGAAACGAACCGTGAAGTCCACGGCAGCACAACACAACATACCTTACACGGAACAAGATCCAACAATCCAGTAGTGCCAATAGGCTGCCTAAGTATGGTCCCCAATCAGAGACAACGAGCTACAGCTGCCTCTGATTGGGAACCACACCGGCCAACATAGATCTAAACGATCTAGATCATCAACATAGAAATATATAACATAGAACATACACAACACAGCAAATACACACCCTCACTCAACAAATACGAGTCCCTTGAGTCAGGGCGTGACAGGAGTCCTCTTTGAACAACATGATCTTGTATTGACATTGCCTTCTCACAAGGGAATTACCTCAGCAGGTCGTAACAGTATTGTTTGTTTGTTGTTCTTAAAATTCAAATTCTATATTGCGCCAAATTTGTGTGCACCCCATGTTCCATAACGTTGTAATGGAATATACCAACTACCAATCAGAAACAGCGCCGTAAAACCAGCTGCATATTGAACGTTGAGATTGCCGAAAGGCCTGTCTCTTTGGCAATGACAAGGAGAGGCAAGGAGTAGGAATGTTAGATGAAGAGAGCGGTACTCAGGCTACATCAAAGGTCTTCAAGTGTGGGAATTACACACAGGTGAACAAACACTGACTATATAACACACGCACGTAGTACAAACAGACATGCACACACACACACACTGGCCGTCAGATCAGCCTCTGGGCCACTGGATGAGAACAGGAGGCCTCAAAGAAAGGAGGAGATGAGCGAGAGAGAGCCTCCTGGTAATTTATTTGGGGGGAGAATGTCTACAGAGAAGCCTGAGTCAGACTATAGGAGGAGATGGGAAACTTTCTCTGACAGACTGTTTTTGATGTTTTTCAAGGGTAGTTATGATGTTGTTGTCATGGATGTTATGTTTAATCTAAACCAAGGTGTGTGTGTGTGCGTGTATTTGTGTTTATGTGTGTGTGTCCCCCTGTAAGTATGTGTGTGTTCATGACTCTTGACTGTGTCTGTTTTCAGTGAGCCTCCGTTCCACCTGACGTGCCGTGGCTGGGGGGAGTTTCCTGTCCGCATCCAGATCCACTTTAAAGAGCCCAGCAACAAACGCATTGACATCGTACATCATGTCAAGGTCAGATTAGATATTCAACTCAACTTTATTTACACTGGAAACACGTTTAAATCAAAGAGGAGGAGATGATGCTCTTCTCTTAACCAAAAAAACCCCGGGCTCTCTATAATTTTATCTCTTCCCTTATTCTCTCTCTTTTCCTCTCTATTTTCCGTCTCCCTATCTCCTCTATCTCTCCCTCTTCTCTCGCTTTAAACCCCTCTCTCTTCTCCTTCCCCCCTCTCTCTCTCTCTCCTCTCTCTCTCTCTCTACCCCTTCCCCTCTCGCTGGCTTCTCTCCTCCCACCCTCTCTTCTCTCTGCCCTTCTCTCTCGCTTTGTTCTCTCTCTCGCCCACTCTCTCTTCTTCAAACTTCTCGCTGTTTTTCTTCGCAAATCCCCCCTCTCACCGCTCCGCTTCTCTCTACCCCTTTGCGTCCTCTCGGGTCTACCCCTCTCTCTCTCTCTCTTCTCCCCTCGCTCCTTCTCTACTGTCCTCTCGTCTTTCTACCCTCTCTCTCTCCTCTACCTCCGCTTTTTTCTACCTCTCTCTCTCTCTTCCCCTCTACCTCTCTTTTTCTCTTCTCTCTCTGTCTCTCTCCCTGTCTCTCTCTCTGTCTCTGTTTCTCTGTCTGTCTCTCACTCTCTCGCTCTGTCTCTCTCTCTCTCCTACAGCTGGACAGAACTTACACAGGCCTGCAGACAGTGCGGACAGAAATAGTAAGCCTGTTATTAATTTACTGCTTTCAAACTTCTCTATTACGTTTATAAATCTACTAGTAAGACACCTACACCTTACACTACATGGGACCATAGCCCCAGCATTGATCTCAAATTTGACTCTTTCTGTTGAATATACCGTTTTTTACCACTGTGAACATTGACCCTTAAACTCACTCTGTCTTCTCTCTGTTGTCTCTGTCAGGTGGTGGATGTTGAGCTCCACAGGAACTTCCTGTCCCCTTCCCCACTTCCTCTTCCTCCCATGACCACCACCACCAGCAGCGTGCAACCAGCCCCTCGTCCCCCTGCTCTCTGCCTCAGACACCAGGCCCCCTCTCTGGCCGCTGCAGCTCTCCACTCCCTCTCTCACAGGACAACCACCCCACCATCGCAGAGAAAGGTGAGATACATGGGGGAATATGAATATAATTACTAGAACAGGATAAGCCCTCGGACCACTGCCATTTGAAGTGCACTCAAGGGTTAATTCAATATGGCTGTCATTCTGTTTCTATGCTTGGGGGGTTATATTCAGTCAAGTTCTATCAGATAGAGTTGGGACTGAGACATCTAGCGTAACTCTAGTCCGCACACCATAGAAGAGACAAACATTTTCAATTGAGGCCTTGACGTGAACTGCAAAATAAGTAGCTGTAACTGTTTGCATTGGATTGATGTCACTTTCATCTCCAAGTCAGTGAATCACGACCAGCCCAAGTGGATTTGCTGTTATTTTTCACCTCTTTTTTTTTTCTTTTAATCCTTTCCTCTGCAGGCCTATAGTGAATTATTGATGAGGCTGGACTGAGAAACCGTCTCATCCCCTCCCACTCTCTGGCTCTCTCTCGCTCTCTCTCTTTCCCTCTGCCCCCCTCTCTCTCCCCTCTCTCTCTATCCTACCTCTCTCTCCCCCTATCTCTTTGTGCCAGGATGAAGGTAATTACATTGTAGATGAATCCCAGAGTGGTTTTTAATGGTTATTACCTCCTCCCCCTCTCTCTCTATCCTCTCTTCCCGTCCAGGTCTGCCCATCAAAGCGGGGAGGTCCGTGGTGTACAGCACGCCTCCTTCAGCCTCGGAACGCACCCCATCCCGGCCTAAAGTCACAGAGAAGATTGCGTTGGGTTCTCATGGCAACACTTAGCCTTCCAGCCAATCACTGCCAGCTGTAAGATTGTGTCAGGTAACTATCTACCAATGGGATCTGGCGATATTGGAGCGAACGGAGGAAGGGAGGGAGATAGGGGAACTGTTGAATGATTCAGTAGTTTTATTTGGTTTTTGTTATGGTAGTCAGTCAGACCTCCAGTGGGGATATTTATGTGATTAGTTTTCTTATTCAAAGGAAACGGAAGAAACTGTCAGTCAATCTCAGTTTAAAAACACTGTCCTCTTTTAACATGGAAATGGGGTTACATTTCTAAATTGGGGCACACAAATGCCTAAGGGAAAATCTTTAGATAGATTGGCTGTTGAAACTAAAGCACAACTTGTGATTGTTCATAGCCTGTATTTGCGAGGATTCAGAGCTTTAGAAAAATTAATGTTTTAGGTCTAAGACACGCCTGAACATTTTTGTCAGTCAGACGTCTACAGCTGGTGGTCCCTAAAACACAGTCGCTGAATGATAGGCAGACGAATGCTAGATCCACGTGTGGTGCGACGTGTGCAAGCCTTTATAATGAATATCTTTACAATGAGCAGCTTGTTTGTGATTTGTTTTGGTCCCAAAGGTTCACCCATCTCCACACCCAGCCGCTCGCCCCTCCCCCGGACCCTCACCTCCACCCCTGTACACACCAAACAGGGCTCCTCCGTACTCAAAAGCCCTTACATCAACGTCGACAAGCCCGGCCAGGTCATCCGGATGGCAATGACCTCCTTCGCCGCCTCCACAGGTACGCTACTGCGCTGCTCTGACTAGGATGAAGTCCTTCTAAACACTGAGCTATGGCCAGTTTGGCGTTTTCCCACTAATGGTAAAAGTTAGGATTTAGCTGGAGTAATCTGATCCTAGATCTGTGCCTAAAAGGGCAATTTCTACACTGAGCTCTCTGCTTGTCTATAGGGAGTTATCCTCTCTTTTTGGGTCAGTTCCTGCAGCACTATAAGAGACTGTGCTGTGGACTCTGTGCCTCCCACACAGCATCTGATAATGGTGTTTTAGATTCTCCTCAGCCACTGTATGGTCAACACTCCTCTCCCACAGACCACTGTCTGCTACACACAAAGGCTAAATCTAGTGCACTCTCACTGCTCTCCTCTCTTTTCTTGTCCTCTCCCCTCCCCTCATACTGATAACTGCCCTTCGTACTACTGTACCACAGTTGACTAGTATTCTCTAACTCTCCTAACCCTGAACCCTGACAGTTGACTAGTATTCTCTAACTCTCCTATCCCTGAACCCTGACAGTTGACTAGTATTCTCTAACTCTCCTATCCCTGAACCCTGACAGTTGACTAGTATTCTCTAACTCTCCTAACCCTGAACCCTGACAGTTTCTCCTCTGTTATCTTGAAGATGCCTACACTTGTATCTTTACAGGCAAAGACATTCTTCCTCTCTTTCTTTCTCTCTCTCTTTCTCTTAGTCGCTCCCTCTTTCTCTCTCTCCATCTCCTTCCGTTCATAGATCTTGACGGTTGGTGAGGCAGCAGCAATGCGATGGTATGAGAGGGGTTTCCATGGTGACCAGAACCACTGCTGTACTACAGTGTTCTGTGGCTCAGTGTCAGGGACAGATTACAGGAGAGTGAGGGGTGGTTAGATGTGTGTGTGTGTGTGTGTGTGTGTGTGTGTGTGTGTGTGTGTGTGTGTGTGTGTGTGTGTGTGTGTGTGTGTGTGTGTGTGTGTGTGTGTGTGTGTGTGTGTGTGTGTGTGTGTGTGTGTGTGTGTGTGTGTGTGTGTGTGTGTGTGTGCGCAAGAGAGAGATTTCGCCATCACAGGTCTCGGTGCACAAAACTATGTTTTACTTTTCCTATGTGACTTTGTGTGTGTTTATTGACTAGGCTACGCTTCATTGTAAATTCAATTACAGAACTAATGTGTTTGTTGGCATTTGGTCGTTCCATGTATCAGTGTCATTCTCAAGTGGAACACAGTGAAACCACATTCCCTCTCTGCTGTGTTTCAGCCCTTTATAGCTCACATTCACATTCCAGTCATGTGCTCTACACTTCCACAAACCTCTCCCATGTATCCACCAACGCTTAGTTTCAGCAGATCCAGGCAGGCAGAGGGGTTTAAAGTGTCTCATGTTATTTCAAGCTGGAGGATTGATGCTGATGTGGGAGTTAGCGCTGATTCACGAGTCTAACTAAAGAGATATTTTGACGCTGAAACGAAGGCAAAAGCTTTGGCCAGTGTGTTGGGGTAACACATTATAAAAGTAAAGCGTTACGTAATCAGATTACTTATTATCAGTAACTAGTAGTGTAATGTGTTACTTTTAAAAACGGGGTAATATACACTACCAGTCAAAGTTTGGACACACCTACTCATTCAAGGGTTTTTCTTTATTTTTACAATGTTTTACATTGTAGAATAATAGTGAAGACATCAAAACTATGAAATAACACATATGGAATCATGTAGTAACCAGAAAAGTGTTAAACAAATCAAAATATATTTTATATTTCAGATTCTTCAAATAGCCACCCTTTGCCTTGATGACAGCTTTGCACACTCTTGGCATTCTCTCAACCAGCTTCATGAGGTAGTCACCTGGAATGCATTTCAATTAACAGGTGTGCCTTCTTAAAAGTTAATTTGTGGAATTTCTTTCCTTCTTAATGCGTTTGAGCCAATCAGTTGTGTTGTGACAAGGTAGGGGGGTATACGTCCATATTATGGCAAGAACAGCTCAAATAAGCAAAGAGAAACGACAGCCCATCATTACTTTAAGACATGAAGGTCAGTCAATACGGAACATTTCAAGAACTTTGAAAGTTTCTTCAAGTGCAGTCGCAAAAACCATCAAGCGCTATGATGAAACTGGCTCTCATGAGGACCGCCACAGGAATGGAAGACCCAGAGTTACCTCTGCTGCAGAGGATAATTTAATTAGCGTTACCAGCCTCAGAAATTGCAGCCCAAATAAATGCTTCACAGAGTTCAAGTCACAGACACATCTCAACATCAACTGTTCAGAGGGGACTGTGTGAATCAGGCCTTCATGGTAGAATTGCTGCAAAGAACCCACTACTAAAGGACACCAATGAGAAGAAGAGAGCTGCTTGGGACAAGAAACACGAGCAATGGACATTAGACAGGTGGAAATTGGTCCTATGGTCTGGAGTCCAAATTGGAGATTTTTTATTCCAACCGCTGTGTCTTTGTGAGACGCGGTGTGGGTAAACGGATTATCACTGCATGTGTATTTCCCATTGTAAAGCATGGAGGAGGAGGTGTTTTGGTGTGGGGGTGCTTTGCTGCTGACACTGTCTGTAATTTATTTAGAATTCAAGGCACACTTAACCAGCATGGCTACCACAGCATTCTGCAGTGATACGCCATCCCATCTAGTTTGGTCTTAGTGGGACTATCATTTGTTTTTCAACAGGAGAATGACCCAACACACCTCCAGGCTGTTTAAGGGCTATTTGACCAAGAAGGAGAGTTATGGAGTGCTGCATCAGATGACCTGGCCTCCACAATCCCCCGACCTCATCCCAATTGAGATGGTTTGGGATGAGTCGGACGGCAGAGTGAAGGAAAAGCAGCCAACATGTGCTCAGCATATGTGGGAACTCCTTCAAGACTGTTGGAAAAGCATTCCAGGTGAAGCTGGTTGAGAGAATGCCAAGAGTGTGCAAAGCTGTCATCAAGGCAAAGGGTGGCTATTTGAAGAATCTCAAATATAAAATATATTTTGATTTGTTTAACACTTTTTTGGATACTACATGAATCCATATGTGTTATTTCATAATTTGTATGTCTTCCCTATTATTCTACAATGTAGAAAATAGTAAAAAATAAAGAAAAACCCTTGAATGAGTAGGTGTGTCCAAACTTTTGACTGGTACTGTAATTATGGTTACTTTGTCAAGTAAAAAAAAAAGTTTTTTTCATGAAAGTATCTTGAAGTAATATAACTAGTAATATACTGTGTTACTTTCCATGCAAAGTAATATTGTAAAGTAACGCGTTACTTTTGAGACATGTAACGACATGTAATATATTATTACCTTTTCAAATAACGAATCCCAACACTGGCTTAGGCAATACTTTAGTTTCTCTCTTTCTCTCGATACCTTAGTGCTTTAACCCACCTAAAGCTTTTGAATTCAATTTATTTGTCTGTAAACGCAGCCCAATTCTGATATTTTGCCCAAATATTGGCTAAAGATCTGATCTGATTAGTCAAAAGATCAATTAGTGTCAAAAGATCAGAATTGGGCTGACTGTGTAAAAGCAGCCCTTGTAACCCACAGAGTGACTAAAACCAGTGCTTCTACCCAGTAACCAGTCTCAGGCTGTGACCAATAGATATGTTGATTGATTGATTAATTCATGGTCTATGTCTTTCTGTATTACAGGAAGTCTTACAGCCAAGCAGTCGGGTGCGGCCCAGGGCACTCGCCCCCAAGGTTCACACGGGCAGCTTCCTGTCCTCAGAGGTCAAGGTGAGTTACACAGAGGTCACACAGAAGTCACTCAAAGGTCAATATGTGTGTCTAAGTGGAGTAAGAGTCTTTGTCATGAGGAGAACTGGCATCTTAACCTCCACATTCTGAAATGGCCTTCGTCACTAAGACGTGTAGTTTCTTTGACATTAGGAGCTTTATAGAAATCTATCAGACTGGGTTGATTAAAAGTTGAAAGTCCTCCAGGATTGAATTATTATTATTATTATTTTTTTTCACCTTTATTTAACCAGGTAGGCCAGTTGAGAACAAGTTCTAATTTACAACTGCGACCTGGCCAAGATAAAGCAAAGCAGTGCGATAAAAACAACAACACAGAGTTACATATGGGGTAAAAAAAACATAAGGTCATAAAATACAACATAAAATATATATACAGTGTGTGCAAATGTAGCAAGTTATGGAGGTAAGGCAATAAATAGGCTATAGTGCAAAATAATTACAATTAGTATTAACACTGGAATGCTAGATGTGCAAGAGATTATGTGCAAATAGAGATACTGGGGTGCAAAAGAGCAAAATAAATAACAATATAGGGATGAGGTAGTTGGGTGGGCTAATTTCAGATGGGCTGTGTACATGTGCAGTGATCGGTAAGGTGCTCTGACAACTGATGCTTAAAGTTAGTGAGGGAGATAAGAGTCTCCAGCTTCAGAGATTTTTGCAATTCGTTCCAGTCATTGGCAGCAGAGAACTGGAAGGAATGGCGGCCAAATGAGGTGTTGGCTTTGGGAATGACCAGTGAGATATACCTGCTGGAGCGCAGACTACGGGTGGGTGCTGCTATGGTGACCAATGAGCTAAGATAAGGCGGGGATTTGCCTAGCAGTGATTTATAGATGGCCTGGAGCCAGTGGGTTTGACGACGAACATATAGTGAGGACCAGCCAACAAGAGCGTACAGGTCACAGTGGTGGGTAGTGTATGGGGCTTTGGAGACAAAACGGATGGCACTGTGATAGACTACATCCAATTTGCTGAGTAGAGTGTTGGAGGCAATTTTGTAAATGACATCGCCGAAGTCAAGGATCGGTAGGATAGTCAGTTTTACGAGGGCATGTTTGGCAGCATGAGTGAAGGAGGCTTTGTTGCGAAATAGGAAGCCGATTCTAGATTTAACTTTGGATTGGAGATTCTTAATGTGAGTCTGGAAGGAGAGTTTACAGTCTAACCAGACACCTAGGTATTTGTAGTTGTCCACATACTCTAGGTCAGACCTGTCGAGAGTGGTGATTCTAGTCGGGTGGGCGGGTGCCAGCAGCGTTCGATTGAAGAGAATGCATTTAGTTTTACTAGTGTTTAAGAGCAGTTGGAGGCTACTGAAGGAGTGTTGTATGGCATTGAAGCTCGTTTGGAGGTTTGTTAACACAGTCTCCAATGAAGGGCCAGATGAATACAAAATGGTGTCGTCTGCGTAGAGGTGGATCTGAGAGTCACCAGCAGCAAGAGCGACATCATTGATATACACGGAGAAAAGAGTCGGCCCAAGAATTGAACCCTGTGGCACCCCCATAGAGACTGCCATAGGTCCAGACAACAGGCCCTCCGATTTCACACATTGAACTCTATCTGAGAAGTAGTTGGTGAACCAGGCGAGGCAGTCATTTGAGAAACCAAGGCTATTTAGTCTGCCAATAAGAATGCGGTGGTTAACAGAGTCGAAAGCCTTGGCCAGGTCGATGAAGACGGCTGCACAGTACTGTCTATTATCGATCGCGGTTATAATATCGTTTAGGACCTTGAGCGTGGCTGAAGTGCACCCATGACCAGCTCGGAAACCGGATTGCATAGCGGAGAAGGTACGGTGGGATTCGAAATGGTTGGTGATCTGTTTGTTAACTTGGCTTTCAAATACTTTCGAAAGGCAGGGCAGGATGGATATAGGTCTGTAACAGTTTGGATCTAGAGTGTCACCCCCTTTGAAGAGGGGGATGACCGCGGCAGCTTTCCAATCTCTGGGGATCTCAGACGTTACGAAAGAGAGGTTGAACAGGCTAGTAATAGGGGTTGCGACAATTTCTGCGGCTAGTTTTAGAAAGAAAGGGTCCAGATTGTCTAGCCCAGCTGATTTGTAGGGGTCCAGATTTTGCAGCTCTTTCAGAACATCAGCTGTCTGAATTTGTGTGAAGGAGAAGCGGGGGGGGCATGGGCAAGTTGCAGCGGAGGGTGCAGAGTTGGTGGCCGGGGTAGTGGTAGCCAGGTGGAAAGCATGGCCAGCCGTAGCAAAATGCTTGTTGAAATTCTCGATTATTGTAGATTTATCGGTGGTGATAGTGTTTCCTAGCCTCAGTGCAGTGGGCAGCTGGGAGGAAGTGCTCTTATTCTCCATGGACTTTACAGTGTCCCAAAACTTTTTGGAGTTAGTGCTACAGGATGCAAATTTCTGTTTGAAAAAGTTAGCCTTTGCTTTCCTGACTGCTTGTGTATATTGGTTCCTAACTTCCCTGAAAAGTTGCATATCGCGGGGGCTATTTGATGCTAATGCAGTACGCCACAGGATGTTTTTGTGCTGGTCAAGGGCAGTCAAGTCTGAGGAGAACCTCAGATTTCACCTGTCTTCACCTGTCATGAGTACTTTTTATAGAGCTAACAGTGTTTAGTTTCCAGGAGATTCATGTCAGAGCCAACCCAGCAGTGGTGGGCTTCCAGGAGCGAAGTGTCAGACCAAACCCAGCAGTGGTGGGCTTCCAGGAGAGAAGTGTCAGACCAAACCCAGCAGTGGTGGGCTGCCAGGAGCGAAGGGTCCCAGATGGGTCTCTATGATTGGCTGTCTCCTCCCAGACAGGTCTCTGTGTGGCGTAGTCACTTCCTGTCTCTGTAGACACTTCCTTCCTGTAACAACACACACACAATAGAATGCCACCCTGCCAGGGTGCTGTCCTCAGCAGCTGTGAGCAGCCACTTGGCAAGCTGTTTAAATGGGACATCAGTCAGAGAGAGGATGGGGGAGACATTGCAGAGAGAATAACTGCACGTTTGTATCACACATACACACACACAGATGGAAAGAGAGAGACAGTGTCAAACTCCTGTAATAAAATCCACCCACTCCCACATCTTCTCTCCACAGACGATACAACCCAATTTCAGGGCAGAGGAACTATTTTCTGCCCAGCCGTTTCTTTCTAGTCTTTCTAGCCTGTTTGGAATGGGACAGAATGTATAATTAATATTTATTTTAGCTCAATGAATCAGTGGGCACACTTGACTTACGTAGATTGCATAGAAACTGTTTATTTTACCTGTGTTTGTCTTCTCTGTAATGTTCTCACTCTATGCTCTGTTCGTCTGCAGGCCATTATCAAGCAGGAGCCGGGAGAAGTTCCCACTCAGCAGCAGCAGATGGTTTCCACGGTAACGGCAGCCCAGCAGCTCGCCGCGGCAACTCAGCAGGAAGTCACTTGATCTCCATGTCGCCACAGAGACAGACAGGAGGGGCCAAAGGGGCGGGGGCAACAACCAGCAAGGTATCAGACAAAACACACACTGACACTACACACATACATACACACATATGGTTCACAGCCAATGAGCAAGGTATCAAAGAGCAAGGGTTTTGACCTGTTAAAATACATCTCCCATGTTTCCCCCCTCCAGGTTCTGGATATCCCTTTAGGCTCCGCCCTCCAGGTTCTGGATATCCCTTTAGGCTCCGCCCTCCAGATTCTGGGTATCCCTTTAGGCTCCGCCCTCCAGGTGGCCATCAGCAGCGGACAGATTCTGGTCACCAAGGGTAACCCCTCCATCTCCAAGGTGATGGGCGGGAAGCATGTGGTCGCCCAGGGATGTTGCCAAGGCCATCGTCAGCGGGGCGGCCGGTAGCATCGTGGGTCAGCAGGTCATTGTTAAGGCAACTGGGGCCGCAGGGGGAACAGGAAAGAGTGGAGGTGAGGGTCCACACACACCTTCACTTTTGGTCGTTCACACAAACACAGGAAAAAAGGCGCCTCTTTATCTGAGACACGTAAAAAACAACAAACACTCTTGACAGACGCCCACTGTCACAAACTCTCATTAAAAAGCACCCATCCACACAAATGCACAGAAACATTCACATGCTCTTCTGACTGATGTTGTGTGTGTGTGTGTCTCCTCTCTCTCTCTCTCTCTCTCTCTCTCTCTCTCTCTCTCTCTCTCTCCCTCTCTCTTCTCTCGCCTCATCCTTCTCTCAAATCTCTCCTCTCTCTCCCTCTCTCGGTCTCTCATCTCTCTCTCCTCTCTCTCTCTCCCTCTCGCTGGCGGGGAGATCTCAGAATAATGTACATCTCTCATGTCATATCTACTGTAATATATTTAATATAACTATCTAATGTCCTCTATCATGTACCTATCTAATGTACTATTATAATGGTACCTATATTCCTATCATCTCTCCTGTACTCTCTCCTATCTAGCTCATTGTCATAATCTCCTGTCCTCTCTCCTGTCCTCTCTCCTGTCCTCTCTCCTATCCTCTCTCCTGTCCTCTCTCCTATCCTCTCTTTCTTTCATTTCCTCCTTTCTTCTCCCTCTTCTCCTCTCTGTCCATTTTCTGTCTCCTTCTCCCAACTGTGTTTTTTCTCCTCTGCCTCCACGTCACATACTGCTGACTGTGTGATAGCAGTCTATAGGTGTATCATACTGAAGGAGGTGTGTGTGTGTTCTGACTCCCAGATCTCCTCCTCCAGCAGTCTGCCCTCTAACCTCTCCTATACATCATACATCCCGGTAGACACACAGCTCCTCAAATAGACCTCACTGGTACATACACCTCCTCACTCACTCTCTCTCTCTGTTCGTCCTGTTATCCTCTTCAAATAATAATTGTGTGAAACAAGCTGCTGTCTTTCATTTACCCTCTCACCCCTTTCTCTCTTTTTGTCTTTCATCTCTTAATGTTGAGGAGAGTCATGTCATGCTCAGAGAATAATAAAGTAGTCTCTTCTAAGAGTCTAGGCAGCGCTTCAAATGCCCTGTAGAATGCCCTGTAGAGAGCCCTGTAGAATGCCCTGTAGAATGCCCTGTAGAGAGCCCTGTAGAATGCCCTGTAGAGAGCCCTGTAGAATGCCCTGTAGAGAGCCCTGTAGAGAGCCCTGTAGAGAGCCCTGTAGAATGCCCCGTAGAATGCCCTGTAGAGAGCCATGTAGAATGCCCTGTAGAGAGCCCTGTAGAATGCCCTGTAGAGAGCCCTGTAGAGAGCCCTGTATAATGCCCTGTAGAGAGCCCTGTAGAATGCCCTGTAGAGAGCCCTGTAGAATGCCCTGTAGATAGCCCTGTAGAATGCCCTGTAGAGAGCCATGTAGAATGCCCTGTAGAATGCCCTGTATAATGCCCTGTAGAGAGCCCTGTAGAGAGCCCTGTAGAATGTCCTGTAGAGAGCCCTGTAGAGAGCCCTGTAGAGAGCCCTGTAGAGAGCCCTGTAGAGAGCCCTGTAGAATGCCTTGTAGAGAGCCCTGTAGAATGCCCTGTAGAGAGCCTTGTAGAATGCCCTGTAGAGAGCCCTGTAGAGAGCCTTGTAGAGAGCCCTGTAGAGAGCCTTGTAGAGAGCCCTGTAGAGAGCCCATCTTTAGTGTTCTAGTATTGATTGAGCCTGCCATATCTAGCTATAGGCCTTAATTAGATACATTCATTACCAAGCCATTGATCCAGTTCTCAACTCTGGAACAATGCTGTCTCTGCATTTACCCAACAACTACTAATGAAGTCTCTGTGCTTCCCCCCGTTCATCTCTTCTTCCTTCCACCTAGAATCTAAATCTGGGGCAGAGATCATTTCATGTCACCACTCGCTCTTCTCACTCTGACGTCGGTCGAACCTTTGGGAAAAATCTTTAGCGTTTGCCACAGGGTTGCCCGCAGAGAGTACGGACAAAATGAAACATCCTCTTTCTTTCCACTGCTCTAACGGTCGGTAGAAAAGGTATGTAGTGCACACACACACACACACACACACACACACACACACACACACACACACACACACACACACACACACACACACACACACACACACACACACACCTCCTACATCCTCAAACAGCCTAACTAAAGAATACACCGACACCTTTAATCTGCCTTGTGACACCCACTCACCACCACCCCCACCACACACACTCTCTAACTAAATAAATAAACTAGAAGTCCCCATCCCCTCTCCCCTAATCAAAAGCATTTAACTCTCAGATAGTATTATAAAGCCCTGTTGTTGTTATGTGTGGGTGTTGTATTGACCGAGTTTTGTTTATGATTGATCTTTCCCAGGGTATGTTTCTGGTTAGCCAGACTGCATCACAGGGCATGGGGAAGCAGGGCGTGGCCAGTTCCACAGGTCACGTGGTGTCATCCCCGATGACCGTCACCCAGCAGGCCATCCAGTCACGGCGGGTCAGATGGCTGCCATCCTGGCTCAGGTCAGTACCATCTGGACACAAAATGGAGGACAGGTAGCCATAGTTACTTCTTGGGAGATAGTGGTTTTGAGATAGTGGTCATATACACTATATATACAAAAGTATGTGGACACCCCTTCAAATTAGTCGATTTGGCTATTTCAGCCACAACCATCGCTGACAGGTGTATAAAATCGAGCACACAGCCATGCAATCTCCATAAACAAACATTGGCAATATAATGTCTTTATTGAAGAGCGACTTTCAACGTGGCACCGTCATAGGATGCCACCTTTCCAACAATTCAGTTATTAAAATGTCTGCCCTGCTAGAGCTGCCCCATTCAACCGTAAGTGCTATATTGTGAAGTGGAAACATTTGGGAGCAACAACGGCTCAGCCGTGAAGTGGTAGGCCATACAAGCTCACAGAACAGGACCAGCGAGTGCTGAAGCGTGTAAAAATTGTCTGTCCTCGGTTGCAACACTCACTACCGAGTTCCAAACTGTCTCTGGAAGCAACGTCAGCACAAGAACTGTTCGTCGCAAGCTTCATGAAATGGCTTTCCATGGCCGAGCAGCCGCACACAAGCCTAGGATCACCATGCGCAATGCCAAGTGTTGGCTGGAGTGGTGTAAAACTCACCGCCATTGGACACTGGAGCAGTTGAAAAGCATTCTCTGGAGTGATGAATCACGCTTCACCATCTGGCAGTCCAACGGACAAATCTGGGTTTGGCGGATGCCAGGAGAACACTAACTGCCCCAATGCATAGTGCCAACTGTAAAGTGTATAGTTCCAGTGAAGGGGAATCTTAATGCTACAGCATATAATGACATTCTAGACGATCCTGTGCTTCCAACTTTGTGGCAACAGTTTGGGGAAGGCCCTTTCCTGTTTCAGCATGACAATGCCCCCGTGCACAAAGAGAGGTCCATACAGAAATGTGTTTTTTTTTCATTGTCGATGAATTTGACTGGCCTGCACAAAGCCCTGACCTCAACCCCATCGAACACCTTTCACCCCCCTTGGCATTTTTCCTATTTTGTAGCCTTATTTTTTGGGGGGTTGTATCATTTGATTTACACAACATGCCTACCACTTTGAAGATGCAAAATATTTTTTATTGTGAAACAAACAAGAAATAAGACAAAAAAACAGAAAACTTGAGCTTGCATAACTATTCACCCCTGTCATTGTCCTGCTGGAAGGTGAACCTCCGTCCCAGTCTCAGATCTCTGGAAGACTGAAACAAGTTTCCCTCAAGAAGGTCCCTGTATTTAGCGCCATACATCGTTCCTTCAATTCTGACCAGTTTCCCAGTCCCTGCCGATGAAAAACATCCCTACAGCATGATGCTGCCACCACCATGTGGGGATGGTGTTCTTGGGGTGATGAGAGGTGTTGGGTTTGCGCCAGACATAGCGTTTTGCTTATTTTTTTCTTTAAGCAATGGCTTTTTTTTGGCCACTCTTCCGTAAAGCCAAGCTCTGTGGAGTGTACGGCTTAAAGTGGTCCTATGGACAGATACTCCAATCTCCGTTTTTGAGCTTTGCAGCTCCTTCAGGGTTATCTTTGGTCTCTTTGTTGCCTCTCTGATTAATGCCCTCCTTGCCTGGTCCGTGAGTTTTGGTGTGCGGCCCTCTCTTGGGAGGTTTGTTGTGGTGCCATATTCTTTCCATTTTTTAATAATCGATTTAATAGTGCTCCGTGGGATGTTCAATGTTTTGGATATTTTTTTATAACCCAACCTTGATCTGTACTTCTCCATAACTTTGTCCCTGACCTGTTTGGAGAGCTCCTTGGTCTTCATGGTGCCGCTTGCTTGGTGGTGCCCCTTGCTTAGTGGTGTTGCAGACTCTGGGGCCTTTCAGAACAGGTGTATATATACTGAGATCATGTGACAGATCATGTGACACTGAGATTGCACACAGGTGGACTTTATTTAACTAATTATGTGACTTCTGAAGGTAATTGGTTGCACCAGATCTTATTTAGGGGCTTCATAGCCCCTAAATAAGATCTGTGTATGTCCATTACATTAAATCCAAATAAAAATCCATTTAAATTACAGGTTGTAATGCAACAAAATAGGAAAAACGCCAATGGGGATGAATACTACTACAGAAGAGTAGCTGTTGCAAGTATTCAAATAAACCGATACATTTCCAATGGCAAGGTGTCAGCAAACTGCTGTTGATCAGCAGCGATAGAGCAGAGAATGACAGACTCTGCTGACCTTTTGTGAGTTGTAGTGGGTCCACAGACCGTACACACGCAGACACAGACACATACTGCATGTTCTCGGGGATAAACCTGTAGCCAGACAATTCTTCTACGCTAGTCTATCCTCACACAAACTTACTGTAGCCCAACAGTGGTGCACTAAAGGTATTATTATACCACCGTAGCAATGGTACTAGATTCTAGTAGCTAGAGGAGATGAATATATTATAAGGGCATTCGTTCAGGACAGAATTTGCATACATATAGAATACTATGCTGTGTTTTAAAAATTGA